GCTAACGCAGAGATCGAGACTGCACGAACAACGTCGGCTACTGTGCTCGAATGCCATTCAGTCCGATGAAAGGATCCGGATGCTACAGTAATGGATGCTTGAAAATTAGGCCGTGCGTAAAATTCTAACCAAATGCACGGTGGTTCGTGACAGGATCAATTTTCTCAAAATTTAAGTTTTACCCGAATCTCGTTCCGAATTCTTTTTGACAATTCTTTTTTCGGACTTGACTTTTTGGAAGTTATTTTGAGAATTGTTGTTTTGTCTGAAAGTTGCTGAGTTACTTGGCGCGGCAGGAATAATGCGCTTCGCGTCGTCATCATACCGTCAGAGGACTCGCATTTGCCCTGAGATTATACCGCAAAGGATACGAGGTCTCTGTGGACAAGGTAGAGACACAACGACAGTTTTCTGGGTGCGACGCAAGCCAACCACGTTAGAGATATTATGTGCTCTGTATCACTGGATCACCTGCATCAGCATCATCTTTCTCGTTCTCGCCCAGCTCTTAGGTGCCGTCCGAAATACAACCACAACAACACAACATATTTTTTACGGTCGTGATCCGAGCCGTGGACCTTATGAAATCGTAGGAACCAGCGATACCCCATATACCGACCGTGTCGTTGCTTGCGTTCGTTATGGCAGAAAATACGAACCCAGACTTGTAAGCTCGTTGCTGGCGTCTGAAGGAACCGAAGCCATATTGGAGGACTCAACAGGAAAGGCCCGTCACGGATATCGACTAGTGAAGCGAAGAGCTGGCAAAGCTTCGGATTCACTCGACTCGTCCGTGTATTCGTCATACGAGGATATTTGCAGCTTAATCTCGGTGACGCTCGACTCTATCCTGAATGCGTGTACTTCATTAGGCTATTCGAATCTTACTACAGACGCTCTTCGAGTTGTTGATGGGGTCGACAGCAAACGGCTATTCAGAATCCCTTACTCGCTACCTGTCCTTATCATGCCTTTCTGGGATAACACTGAACAAGCTCGCCACACGGTACCGACATGGCATGGTGAGTCATGCATGTTTCGTCTCGAAGACGCATACTCTGGAAGCGCAAACGGTGGGAGTAATGCGACCAAAGCCAGTCTCCGGGCGGTGAATCGGACTGCACGATTTCAGCGTACTGAAGAATGGCTGAAGCAACCTGGTGGGGCCTGGAAGAATGGATGGTACGAAGACTTGGAAGGAGGGCGCTGGTTTGCTGATTTGACGAGCTCGAACCCCGGACCCCCGTTTTACATGGCCTACCGAATGTTCGATATGATGTCGGGGATGGAGATGAACTGCTCGACTCAAGCAGACTGTCTGGCAGAACCTAAAGTCAACCGATGGGGAACCAAATTCACCACGTACGAGTATCCACACAATCTGAACTCCATTGCTATCCAGAGTGGGTCCTCTTTTGGTATTTATCTCTACGAAACCACTCAAGCAGATGTGGTTCGCATCGTTTACGATTGGGAGACACTAGTTTCAAATTTATCCGTCATTCTGGTGTTACTACGATGGATATTGTCCTTAGTAGCACTGCACAACGGCACAGTAAGCGGAAAAATACCATGTTATGGTGGTGGTCTTGGATGCGTCTCGAGCTACAGAATATTCGACTTGCTACTGATCTCGATGCTGCCTCAGCTGAAGATGACATTGACCGCGTTTTGGACGGTAGGATGCCGCTTTGAAGGCCAACAGGCAGGGCTATCGGAGGCCTGGTTTACGATCTATCCGTCGATTGCTCAGCTGATGCTGATGTATTATAGTCTTCTCAATGTTCTGGCTAAAATCACTCGACGCCGTATGACGGACACACTCTTCATACCCTCGGTGGCATTCCTGTGTTTGATACATTACTTTCGCAGCGAATTGGCAGCCTCGCCTGTGTGGAATGATATTGACGGCAGAGTTGCTACCCTCGTTTTCTCGGATGAAGTGAAGAAAATGACGCTTCTGGATTATTTCGTGAGTGATCTAGCGTGGAGGATGAATGGCCGCGTCGTAGGAATCTTCTGGACTAAGCTGGCTGTACTTGGTATTAACCTGCTACCTTTACTTATGGCACGTCCATTGCCTGTTCCAAACCCAAGAGGACGGCAAGTTCTGTGTGGGGTCGAAAAGGCATTCGCCTTAAGAGCGAAACACGTCGGCGGCCTAGGACTGTCTCCAGTTTACATGGCCGCGCTCTGTCGTCCACCGTCAAGAGATTCATCCGACAGTAAAATGAGCGTTATTCCTTCGAATCCGCAGCCAGAAATGAAGAAAATTGCCTCTCACCGATCGATTGTCGCAGAATTGGCCGTGTATTTGAACAGCTACGAGCTACTGCGTCTCGGGTATGTTGTCTTTGGCGACCGCTATATCATCGCTTTCGACGATTGGGATTTTCTGACAGCAATGGCTCCGCTGCGATCGTTTTATCATTTGTGGAACCAACGCGTTTGCGTTTGGAAATTAGAGGATTCGGGTAATACTGACTGCAACGGATTGCGCGCTCTCCAAACTTTGGATCCAGAAATGTGGCGGCTGGACGACTCGCGACTACAGAGCATTCATTTTTGGCAAATATCTTCTTGTGGTATCCGATGCTGATCGACATGGTCTGCTGGTAAAACTTCTAGATACTGAAAAGTGCGGTCCCATCATCCACTCGTGCGGTATAATGCCCTGGCGTGGAGGTTGCAGGACGATTCAGATGTGCTTATAGCCGGCAAATTTTTCGGGCCATAGAGCCTGGTGGCCCGCCAGTGGCGGGTATTGCTTGCAGAATACCGCACAGTGTACATGTACCGTACCGGTTTTCCACAGACACGCGAACAAGCGATTGATACTATTGCACGCTACAACTGTAGTACAGTTACTGTACGAGTCTGGTCCACTGCTAAAACATGATCCGGCTCACAAAAATGCCTTCCGGGGTCGGTTGTATATGGCGGGCACGTATTAATACAACGTCAATAGCTTCGCGTTAGATTGATGCGCTCGGAAAGTCGTTTAAGCACCACTACGCTGAACAAGTTAATTAAAGGCTCGCGTAATTTTAACTATCACTCAAGATTTTTTCGAAAATGAAATGGAAGAAAATACATTTAAGCTTAAGTAAAAAAACGACTATGCAGATTATCGTCTGCTGCCGACTGACAGTACAGTACTGTGGACAACTGTGCGATTCATCCGTACTTATATTAATAGGTTAGGTGATACTTTTGTGCGTTCCGAGCGCTGCGACAAAGCGAGCGCTACAGTACAGGCTGTAGCAGGCTATATTAATACAGTAGCAGCCAATTACGAAATAACCTACATAAATGTAATTGAGCTGAGTTAGATATCCGGATACACGTACCGACAAATCTTTTAAGATTTCAAACCAGGTACAGTACGTTGTGCAACGTTGAGTCTGGGAGGCAACAACCGGTTGAACATCCATTCTCCACTTTGTTGTGACAATGCTGGGCCGAAGCGAAGCAAGTTTGTCTTTCCTGTATACGATACCAAATGGAAAACACTTCAGCTTTGTTGCATCAGGAACCCTACGCTCGAACCTACATTGTGCCACAATTTGTGGTGCATACGGGCAGCCTTCAAGTAAAAGGAGCACCCGTTTTAAAATTGCACCTTGGGCTTTCCATACAGTCATCACGAACGCAAGATGAACAGTGCTGACAGTATTGATTTTTTTCTGGATGGGGATTCATCATACTCAACCCTAGATTAATTCGAAACAATCGAATCCTCATTTTTTTTATTTTTCCAAAAACTCGCTGTGTGGAATACATGGACTTAAGTGCTTAATTTGGAGTGCACATATATCAGGTTTCACGAATGTTGACCCGGTTGACGACAATTAATCCTCGTTAGGCTTCCCAATAGCTAGCTTACGCTACCTACCACTTTTAAAGATTCCCATTTAATGGTTACAGTAACTTACTGCACTATTAAATTACAGCTTGTGATAAGTCATGTTTTCCAAACTAAGTAGGTGCATTTGTCAGATCTAAATTGTTGCGAAATGTCCTGAAAAGGCAGCTTCCCTCGGTTTAGATGCAAATGATAGCATTACATAAGTACTGTACACTGTGATTTACAGACTGTGAACGATGCTAGTATCATACTAGCATCGTTCACAGTCTGTAGTAAGAGATACTAAGAAAGGTGTTATCGGCTGCTGTATCCTTCACCAACACCGAATCGTACTTCAGCATGTTTGAGAGCCAGCAATAAATACAGTCAAGAATCTTCGTACACAAATTGTGTTTAATTTATTGTTGATGTTAAGCAGTGGCACCCAACAGCGTACTCGGCCCGACAACGTTAGACTCTAAAGTGGACTGAGGGAATACATACATGAACTTCTCCACATAAACCTCTAAAACACCATCATTCTTGAACCTAAGCAAAAATTGCTTTCAATGCGCACAACAAGCCTGTGATATTCGTTTTTTGAACACTTGTATCACCTTTACAGTTAAGCTGAGGGGATAGTGCTGGTGTCGCATTATACATTTTATTAAAGTAAGTCGATATTGGTCGTCGTTCCTGCTTTCGAATCCCCTCCGAGTGCAATGTTTTTAAACCATTTCGCTCACGTTTTTTAGCTTGATATTATCGGTACTGTACAGTAGCATGGGTAAGGCTGTACGATAGACTATACAAGTTGTTCACAGCGCGTATTTACAAGTCTCCTGGAATCTCTGATGCAAGCGTATTTTTTTCATGTTTATCTTGGATTCCTCGAAAGTGTTTTTTTATTTATTTTAAAAGTAAGCCAAAACACTTACTAATAAAATGGGTATGCTGAACTGTTTCTGTTCCGACGTTAAATCGCCATGCTATAATGAAATGATCTGCAGCTGTACGAACTGACGAACGTCAGCATGAAGTTCCTGCCATGAACATGATCCGAGACAAACCAGTCCGGTGATTTCTTGGAATCCATGTTGGATAGGCGGGTCATTTCCTTTTTTCCCTCTAGCCACTGAAGCCCCACCCAAAGATGCAGATATTTGCTCCCCTCGTCGCCCTTGCTAGCCTCGCCGCAGCCTCGGAAGGTGCCTGTACCGGAACGAATGCTCGCACTACTCCCCCACCAGGTGCCATCGTCATTGACGCCACGGGTGCGTACAGCGGCAGCTTCAAGACCGTGTCCGAAGGAGTGGCCAATCTTCCCAAAACGGCGGTGCAACAAATTCTCTTCTTGATGCCGGGGACTTATGAGGAGCAGGTCACAATTCCGAAGCTTAAAGGCAACCTGGTTGTGCAGGGCTACACTTGTGACACGACATCGTACTCTTCGAACCAGGTCACTATCACCCACGCCATGGCGCAAAAGGATGTCCCTGCCAACATCACCAAGAGCCGCAATGACTACACGACCACGCTGCTGATCAAGGCGAGTAACGTGAAGGTGTACAACCTCAACGTTGCCAACACAGCTGGCGACGTTGGCCAGGCCATTGCTATGAAGGTCGACGGCGCCAATAACGGAGTTTACGCCTGCAATCTCACCGGCTACCAAGACACTTTGTACGCAAATAAGGGTCCCGAGCTCTTCGCCAAGTCGTACATTAGCGGTGCCGTCGACTTCGTCTTTGGTCTGTACGCGAAGGCCTGGTTTGAGTCCTGCGACATTGAGTCTGTTGGCAAAGGCTGCATCACTGCTAACGGCCGCACAAACGATTCGAACCCTTCCGAATATGTCTTCAACAACGCACGCGTCTTCGGTTCCACTCCGGGTCAAGCCTTCCTGGGCCGGCCGTGGCGACCGTATGCCCGCGTCGTTTTCCAAAACAGTGACCTTAGTGATGTTATCAACCCAGCAGGTTGGCAGAAGTGGAACGGTGACAACAATACGGCTAACGTCTACTTCAAGGAGTACAGCAACAGAGGAGCAGGAGCGGCTACCAACAACCGTGTTGGTTTCAGTGGAACGCTGGAGAAACCTGTGGCGATCACGGAAATCCTTGGTGCGGGCTACGAGTCCGCCTGGTGGGTGGACAAGTCGTTCCTGTAGGCCGGTTGAAGAACTGGCACCAACATCTGAGGAGATCGTTTCACAAAAATCTGTTAATTCTACCAATGAATATTTTTGAGCAGAAAGTATCTACAAAAGAGTATTTTAACAGGTCTTATCAATCGGAAACTAACTTCTTTCACTGGCGCAACTCAAAAACAACCCATGCAAAAATAGTTTTAGCCAATCAGCATCGAATATCACATTTAAAAAAAACAATGGCCAGCCTGGACGCAATTTCTGCAAATACTCCAAAACAAAACGACAAAGGTGCCGTACGACAGGGCCACGACAAAAGAATGCGTGAAGTGTGAGAGATATTGATCTCTCACACTTCACGCATTCTTTTCGGTCAAGTACAAGGGCACAAATGCTCGATGCGGACGCCCATACTTAATTTTCGGAGAGAGGGCCCGCCTTCAAAAATATCTTGCCTATTTACGAGCGACGTATAACGAGCGGCGTTCAAGCGGTGGCTTACCCAGTTGTGAGGAGATACAGGCCCAAAACGCAGCTCTCAGAAGCTCCAATTCAATATGAAATTGACAGCTTCAAAGAAGGCAAGAATTGTGCAAGTTTAGCTTAGTTGGAAGGGATATATATTGCGGGCTTTATCGAGAAAGTCAAAGTATACGAGCAGTTCACAGGTCCCCTCTTTATTCAAAAGAGAGCGAAGTGACCTAATTAAGGTAGAATGTAAACTGAGTATATTTATAGGTAGATAAAGCTTGGGTTTAATACAATATATAAGTCACCTATAGATATGCAATGTCATCAACCAATGGTTGGCTTTGGACGACCTTGGTACTTTGTACCAAATATCCGAAGTATGACGTGTCACACTTTATGTAACCAGGGTACACTTAGGGCTACGTACCCTGTTACAATTGTGGTACTTACTATTTGTATCTAATAATGCCAGCGCTCCGACAGGAGCTTAGAGAGGTGGAGCACAGCGCTCTCCCTGACAAGCCACAGCCGAAAGGGCTAAGACAACACCCCCTTAAGAAGCTCAGTCAAAACGGACCGCTGTTTGAGTACATTTTTGCTCAGGTACAGATATTCCGGTAAGCTTTCAGCTAAACACTAACACCGACTGCCTTTTATTATTAGATGTCGAAATCGACTTGCTGTCAAAGGCGTGGTTCCGAAAGGCCTACCTTCTTTTGCATCCTGACAAGCGCCATTGGATGCCACCAGAATTTCAAGGAGAGCCTGTTGAGATATTGCTTCAAGAAACATGCAAAATATTCGGTCAGTACAAGGCACAAATGCTCGATGCGGACGCCCATACTATTTTTGGAAAGAGGGCCCGCCTTCAAAAATATCTTGCCTATTTACGAGCGACGTATAACGAGCGCGTCAAGCGGTGGCTTACCAGTTGTGAGGAGATACAGGCCCAAAACGCAGCTCTCAGAGCTCCAATTCAAGATGAAATTGACAGCTTCAAAGAAGGCAAGAATTGTGCAAGTTTTAGCTTAGTTTGAAGGGATATATATGGCGGGCTTTATCGAGAAAGACAAGATATATGAGAACAAGATGAAGGAAAAGGAGAAGGATCTGACGGACGAGCGTCGCTTTCGGGAGGTGTTTGGTTTTGATTCGGATAGTGAAGAAGGATAGTGAAGAAGATTAAGGGATAATTTTTGTTTTAATTTTAACCAATCGGATTTACCCCCTAACAACTAGACTTTAAGTACTAAACAAGACTAAAAGTACGAATCTTGAAATGATTGGTTCTGCAGCTCATTGTTATTTTGGCTGGACGACAAGCATATACTCAGCCAGTGTCTATCGTATTTATGGCAGGACACCCCGCATCATTCCAAGAGCTGTTACAAGGCGGTATCGACACAGCAACACACGTGAATACGCGCTGCGGCATCACCCCCAAGTGTCGTTGGCTCTGAGTTGAAGCTGAAGCAGCGTCTGAGTAGTTTAAATCTGTTCAAGTTCATCATGCCGTCTAACGCCGTGGTGCTACCACCAAACATTCGATCTTCAGG